ACGGCCTCAGGGCCCTTCCAAGTGTTGGATCACAACGTTCCCCAAAAACAATGGGGTTGCACAAATCCTTTGGTGGTTTGAAACATGTGATATATATACACATAAAATGAGACCCAGGATGCTATAATGCTACAATGGGATATATTTATATATATATGATGGTTTATACATGGAATACCCTCGTGTAATGACCAACAGTTTGCTATTGGAAATGGCCCATAGAAAGTTCGTTGATTTACCCAACTATAAAATGGTGATTTTCCAGTTCGCTATGTAAATTTACCAGAGGGTAAATCCCATGACTTTCGCAGTCCCTAACTAAGCTATGACACCGGTACCACATAGAAATCTATAGAACATATCCACAGTACATCCAACCCTTTGCTTTGGCGACTTTTTAAAGTGCCATCAAAAGTGTACCGCGACAATTTTTCTGTGACTGGAATATGGCGAACTGGAATAGGTCTAGTTTCACATTAATTACTTTCTACCCTTGAACAATTTAACATAGCCTTAGGACAATCACGATGTCTAATTAATAGGTTTAAAATCCTCTACATTCCTTGGCCTTTTCCCCAGCTATCTTAGTCTGCGGGTACATACCAGGCCCTGGCGGTTTTAGGTGCTTGCTACAACCTCCAATGATAATTTGTTGGTCATGTGGTACCGTATAATTCAAAATTGGGATGGGTCAATACCTATTACCACATTTAGGGGAATAAACATGTATATAAAACAACTATTCTGGGGTACCTAGGGTGCCCGGCTTTTGACTCATAGTCATATGTCTTGATATAATGTGTACTCGGTACCCCTTTTGCGGAACTTTTTTTTCCCCGAATGACTCTGGATGATTAGGAATGGATACGAATGGGGGATATCGGAAAAGCTACAACCGCTTGCCCAAAAAAATGGTGGGTTCTTATGGTAGTGCTTGCCACCCGGCAATTTAAATTCTGCTATGAAAGCCATGGCCCATTTTTACAGGTGATTTTGCTCATTGATTTAGTTACGAAACCATAGCAAAGTGTTGATAACTGTTGAATCACCGGAACTCACTCATTGTCAATAACTCTTAGTAACTCTTAACAAATGTACACAACATATCGTACCGATGTTGGATTGGCGATAGAAAGGCCATGAAAGACCCACCGGACCCAATATGGGTAGGTCTGAGAATTGGGTATCCCCATGTACCAACCATTTTGATACAAGGAAACTTATGATAAACCATTGGAAGGAATGGGGATACCCATGGATACCCTAGTTTTAGACAATCTAATATAATCTACAATATCTTACATATGATTTACCTTTTGAAATGACGTCTTCCCCTTGCCAGCTTTGAATCATAGCACATATCATGCGCATATCATGCGGTATATTGTTGGCATGATGACACACGTTCAATCAATCGGGACATCGGGTTGGCATTCCGGATGTTCTGCGTTGAACACTGCAATTTGAACTATGTTGGAAAAACATCGGCCCATATCCGGTTTGGGCTTCCATCATGTTTCATATTAGTTTTCAAATGTTTTTCAGATGTTTGTTTGTTTTTTCTTTGGGTTGGTTTCGCCAATGGCTGGGTTGATGTAAGAGAGACTTGTCAATGCCGATACCCCATGTCTTGCATCCAACATAGACCATAATTCAAGGACACCCCTTTCTCAGTTTTTTTCATCATGACGTATGGGGTGTCCGCGTGTTTACCAACGAAAATATATTTTTCTCACTAATTAATGAAATTGATTGAGAAGGAAAATCTAAGGAAAACCCTTATAATTGGATCATAAAACCATGATTTTATCATATTTTAATTTGATGTTTTTTTCCCCTCCTCCCAACCAAAAAAAATATCAAATTAAGTATGTGAAATATGATCAACACCTATTAATTGCACCATATTTTGGGAGGATGGGGGTTGGGTTTTTGACCATTCAATCAGGTCAAGTCGCGAGGGCTCCTTTGGCTGCAAAAAATGGATGATAACTCGGCGTAAACCCAAGAAAAACTCTATGATTTTCCGATGTTCTGATTTTCGAAGAGAATTCCAGTCCAGTGTTTTTTTTGTGTTTGAGAGACCTGTGTTATAACGTTTTAAATTTTGTAAATTTTATCGGATTCTCATGTATGTTGATGTATTTTGGCCATGTTGAAAACCAGGACCAAAATTCCCCCCGGAAATGGGCTGATATTTTTATGACACGTGGAGCTTGTCCCAACTTCTGGTCCCAAAGTAGAAAGACCGCAGCATGTCCAGATGATGTTTGTCGATCGTCGAGCCTGGGGACCACGGGCCTCAAGATTGACTCAATGGCATCTACCTCATTTATTTGGCGGATGGTTGTGAAATCCTGCACCAGTAAGTCAGTGGGAACTATGAAACACTATATATATAGAGAATTTGATTATAATGGGATAAACCATCAACTGAGGTGCAGGACTTCACCAACCATCCACAGTAGGATGGATATGATGGATTAAAACACCATATTTGCTGGGGAACATTCATTTGCCACCCGGCGACCAGGGCTTGCATTGAACAAAATCTGAGCACAGGTGCACTGACTGCTACTGCGTGTTGGTCTACATCTTTGGATGGGTTGCTGGCCGGTGCTTTCAGAAGACGTTTTATTCTATGTTTTCCCTATAATTTTCCTCATCCCGAAAGAAGGAATATTCAGCCGGAAAAGTGGGGGACAAGAGCCAAATTTTGCTCGTGGTTTCGTTTCTGTCATCTTCCATTCGCAGCTTAGATGAACAGATTGTAACGTGGCAAACCCACTGCCACAAACCATCCCAGTGCCCAAGCCTTGGGGGGTCATAATAAAAGACATCATCCCACAAACAGTATGTATATATAATATATATATATATGTGTGTATAACAGTGTATATATGTATGTATATTTATCAGCATGATTATGCCTATGCATTATATTTTTTACACACACACATATATATATATATACATATACACAAGTATATTAGATACTGGTACATGAAATATATACGGTAGACAGATTATTCCATGTACAGCAAACACTATACACCGTCGATACAGACCCAATGTCCCAAACCGGACCAGGTGGTCTTTGTTGCTGTGACTCTCGCAGGGCTTCAGGACAAGGGAAGGGAACATCTACGGAAACCATGGTGGTTGCCCCCAAAAAATCAAAGGTGCCAATGGAAAATCGGAGACTCCTCTATAGATAGAGGTTTTAATGGGAAAATGAACATATTCTATAAATGGAATTTACAGTTGTTATGTTTGATTACCAGAGAGTACCCCCAATATCATCCAATATCCGGCTTTCCTGCAAACTGTTCCTTCAATTCTGGGAGAGGTTCATGGGGGCTGTCATGATTGGCCAAGATATGCCAAAATGATCCTTGCTAGGCCTAGTCTATGATTTTTAGTAGATAGCAAATGAAGCCCCCTCAAAAACGACCTTGGAAAAAATATGGCTGGTGTACCGCCTCAGATTTTTTTCCGGGCTTTCAACATTGAATGCAAAACGGTGTAATCATGTGATACCATTTGCTTTATTCACGTTTCCAAGTCTATAGGACTACGCACTGAAAAGACAATTACTATGTTACTATAACATATGATGTGGATGTTATAAATATTTATCAATCATTCCTTTCCTCATGCATTTCGTGGAATTCCCAACTTGTCCAGCTATGATCAGCGCTGGCATGGCACCCTGCGAGGATGGCAACCCCACGAAACTCTACGCACCACGCGACTATTCCGGGAGCTACTGTGGCTGGGCTTTTTTTTCCAGATGTGTACAATCCACATCTGAGAAAAAATGGGTTCAGCGGTATTCATTACGCTCTGGTAAACTAACTTAACTATGGAAACTAACTATTTTTAATGGGTAAATCAACTGTTTCTATGGCAATGTTCAATAATGTTCAATAGCTATGTTAGTTTACCAGAGGGCATGCAGCCGAGAGCTCAGGTGGAGTGGATAGCAACTGGCAGACGGGCTATGACCTGCATCTGGTCCGCACACTTTCGGTCACCCGAAAGGGTGGTTTAAGGAAGTGCAGTCAGCCCAGAACCAGTCTAGTTCCAGGTTTGTGAGCCATTGTGATTACAACCACTGCACATTGGTGGGATATTTTTCGAAGCATTTTGGAAGATGGAGAATTAAAGAGGTGTTCAATACTACCCCTTACTACTGGCTCGTATGGTACATTATGCCATGGAACACCACCATCAAATTGATAGGCAAATCATTGAAGTACTGTAAATGTTTTTGTTTTTTTTTTTGTATGGCAAACTGCTAAATCATGAATTGAATATGCATAAATTATCTATAAATGGAGGTTTCAGTGAGAAAACCATCATGTTGAACAAGTACATCATCTATAAGTCTATAAATGTATATAAATTGTGTGGCATTTTCCAGTTCGCAAACTCTTGAACAACCAGAGTGTAATACCTCCAGTCATAGGTACCATAAGTTGGTGCCCTCCTTAGCTCTCCTTTCGGGTCTCAGGAATGGATTTTCATCTTTGGGCTTCACCATGAACGTCACGCCCCTCGGGCCTCGAACCAAATCCGGGGGGTTCGAGTTCCGGCCCAGCTGCAAGTCGATCCTCAAAAGACAACATTCGGCAGGGCAAAATCTGTAGGATACTGTAGGTCTCTGAAAAACCTTTCAGTGGTTTTTTTTGCATCATGATGCTCTGTTGAACTTCTCATCTCAGGTCCTCGTTTTGTGAAAATCCTAAGGTCCACCACAGACATGATCGTGAAGGAGTTGTGTCTTGGCTGCAGCCGACACCGCTGCCAGCCATATCGATGACAATCAGAAGGTGTTGATCCTTCTGGCGGAAGTTTTCCATCATTTACTTGCGATGATCTTCGCATTAAAACATCTTAAAACCTCCGTTTTTAAGGATTTCCCGGCCAGGCATTCCCTGCAGCCTTTAGATCATCCACAGATGGCGATGCTGGGTCGCCACTGGAAGCCAAGGATTTGTTCCAACGCTGCTCGGGATGCCCTCATGGGTCTGTTGACCACCACTGAAGCTCAGCAGGCCGGCAGAAACACAGGGGGACGCACGAATTCGGGCGTCCCCCATAGAGGATGCCAGCAGAAGTTATTGGTTGTTGCAAGGTCCCCCCAGTTATAAATTGGTTGTAAACCCATTAAGTATATATAGATTAGATACTTCACCTATAAACCATAGTTATTGGAGTTATGAACCAACTTAGCCATCTTGGGGGCATCACGTTGGGGGGGAAATGTTTGGTACCACAAGTTTGGGACACTCGTTTGCTGAAATATGTGCGCCATTACCTATCCTCGTTTCGCGCGTTTGCTCATGATGCATTGTCGCGTTTTGTGTTCTTTTTGGGTGGTTTCGGTTGCAATATCTCCCCTTTTTTCTAGTTCAGCTTATATCTTAGTGACTTAGTGACTTAGTGATTCTAGTCTCCCAGAATGTGATGGATGGAAAATCTATGTTGATCAATATTTGAGTTTAAAGTCAAGGGGTTCCATGAATAATTTCATCCATGATCAAACACCCCCGAAAATATTGGGTATATCAAGGGATCCCAGTCATCGATTTCATCCCGCAACATCCACCATGGTGATGTTTGTCCAAAGAGGCACTGGCGGTACCGTTGGAATGTTCACCACCAGCGAAACATGTGGTTTTGCACGGTATCTAAGATTGGCTGGGTTGAATTCCGAGGATTTGTCCAATGCATTGAATCATGATATATCATGATGTTCGCTCTTCAAAACCATTGAAAAACCCAGCTCAAATATCAATTTTCCAGTAGTCAATCCCAAAAAAACTAGGCATCGTGGAAGATCCGATATCTCAGTCAGGAAGTATCCCACAAAAGCCATTGATCCACCATTTTTGCAGACATATTAGTGGGAGCCGGGAGCAAACATTTTTTTGCATATTTTTCTCCAGATATCATCTATCCACCACAAAAACTCCCCAGTTTACGGTTCCGTTCCAGGAATATTTGTGCACCTGCTGCCTCAGCGCCTGCAGCCGTTGCACCGGGGCCTATAAAGTGCAGAAGCTGGACAGCAGCAACGTCCAAGCCCCTTGGCACACCGAGTTGTGGTTGACATTTTCTCCTTGGTATTTGATGTTTAATGCATATATATATATACAATTATATATATATAGGTTGCATCATATATGTCTATATATATATGTGTGTGTTTGTGTGTGGGTACACAATGTATATATGCATATACATCTATATACACATGATGTATTATATGCCATATGGATCCCAATACTTAAAACGTACTGAACCCCTAAAACATAACAAGCATACGTCTTGAAAAAGCATTTGGATCCACAGGGGTCAATATATTTGCACCATGTTGTTTTATTTTTTTGAACCTAAACCGATTTGGTAACCACCGTTTGGTTATATAATTATGTTTCATGACTGGTTGGATTCGATGGTGTTGTGAAAAAACGATCGCCCAAGATGCCACTTTTCTGGTTCCAGGACAACCTTGGGTCCAGGCCCTGGATCTCAGGAAATTATTTCAGGCAAGATGAGCGAATTCCAGGGTTCCGCCAGCACACTCTTCAATGCCAAGGGGATGAACGGCACCTCGGTGACGATCTAAAGCGGGGATTTTCGGATGGTCCTTGGATAGGGCTTGCAGTCAGCCAAGTGGACACCCATAGCCTGTCATAGATGTGCCACAAGGTGACTACTTCACAGAGATTTGGAGTGAAGCTGCCAAGTTTGCTCGGCTGCATTGGGATATCCCATGGTCCCTCAACGGTTCGAAATGGTTAGAAGATGTTACAAGATGCTACATGATGTTACAAACTACAACTGAATCAGGACCCGCAATTCATGACGAAATTACGGTCATCTAAGCGGAGAGCTCTGCTCCCAATTTGACAATATTAATTACTATCCTGCCGTAAACATACATTGATAAGATGGAAAATCAACAATTTGCCAAAAATGTCCAAGCGAAACTTCCCCCGGTTTTCCATAGTTTTTTGCACGTCTACGGAAGGCATTCAGAATCGCATCTCTCAAAAGGTTCAGTGACTGAAGCCTGTGGCTAGATCAAGCACGTGCAGAGGCTTGCAAGACGATTTTCCCATATTTCATCCCTGGATTGAAGGGAAAATCTACCGGAAACTGGCTGATCTGGCTGGTTGTCCCCATGAAATATAAGGGTTTCCATGGGTTTCCATTTTCCTGTAAAATTGGCCTTAAACCAGTCCAGTCAATGATTTGATCGTTTCCAGCTTTTTTGGTGATTTATACATTTGTGCCTTCCCACCCCTGCATGGTGATCACCTTCACCTCCGGTAATCAAACATGGCGTGCTGGAAAATCCCCTCCCATTTCTAGATGATTTTCCCAGCTAGAAATTTGCAGAGGGTAGTTCCTCAGGTACTTCAACATGGTATGCCTGCCAGATTGCACTGTGCCACTTGGAGATCCCATTCGGCTGACACCCCCAATGTTGGCATTTGCCTCACTGCCTCCGAAGAACCTTATGTCTGTTGGTTTACACAGCCAGCATCATCCAAGTGTATTTGGGTTGTCTGGAACTTGTGCACCCCAAACCCAATGGTGAAACATCATTTTCCCGGCAATCAAATGCTACAATTGGAGGTACTGTATACCCCATGTCCAGACACATCCATCTTTTTCACCACAAACCCAACAGCTTGGTGGGCCTGTCGGTGCTCAGGACCTATAACTCCCTCAACACCACTTACAGAACCTGGACCTACACGATGGCCTGGGCCCTGGGCCTCGAAGCAGTGCCAGTTGACAAGCCGTTCCCCCAACACACTTCAGGGATGGCCGGGCCGGTCCCGTTCCGGGCGCGCGGATCTCGGTCCGGTCCGTTCCGTTCTGCCGCGTTCCATGTGGTGTGGAAGCCGGCCTGTAAAGATGTCACCTGCGTTTAGGGACAGTCTGGAAATGCAAATGGGGGGTGTCGTTGCACCTCGAGATAGATTTCAAGATCCGCTACTACATTATGGGCAGGGAAGTGGCCAAGCAGATTTCACTTGCATTTTGGGAGATCCGAGAAATGCAGGTGGGGTTTACTATCGGCTAACTTTTGTCAAAAAGTAAAATGCAAATTCTATTTGCGTTTCCCGCGCTGCATTAAATGCAGATAAATGTGCTAGTGGCATGACAGATTTTAGATGTAGTTTGGCAGATTCTACAAATGCAGATAGGGTTTGACATTGGCTAGCAATGACTAGGAAAGGGGCAAAGCAGTTTTTAGTTGCATTTTGGCAGCTTCTGGAAATGCAGATGGGGTTTGACATCGGCTAACTTGTGTGAAAAAGTAAAATGCAAATTCTATTTACGTTTCCAGCGCTGCACTAAATGCAGATAAAAGTGCTAGTGGCAAAACAGATCTTAGATGCATTTTGGCAGAGTGTACAAATGCAGATAGGGTTTGACATTGGCCAGCAATGACTAGGAAAGGGGCAAAGCAGTTTTCAGTTGCATTTTGGCAGCTTCTGGAAATGCAGATGGGGTTTCATATCGGCTAACTGTTTTGTAAAAAGAGTAAATGGCAAATTCTATTTGCGTTTCCTGCGCTGCACTAAATGCAGATAAAAGTGCTAGTGGCAGAACAGATCTTAGATACATTTTGGCAGATTGTCCAAATGCAAATAGGGTTTGACATTGGCCAGCAATGACTAGGAAAGGGGCAAAGCAGTTTTTAGTTACATTTTGGCAGCTTCTGGAAATGCAGATGGGGTTTGACACCGGCTAACTTGTGAGAAAAAGTAAAATGCAAATTCTATTTGCGTTTCCTGCGCTGCACTAAATGCAGATAAATGTGCTAGTGTCAAAAAATCTTAGATGCATTTTGGCAGAGTGTACAAATGCACATAGGGTTTGACATTGGCCAGCAATGACTAGGAAAGGGGCAAAGCAGTTTTTAGTTTCATTTTGGCAGCTTCTGGAAATGCAGATGGGGTTTGACATCGGCTAACTGTTTTGTAAAAAGAGTAAATGGCAAATTCTATTTGCGTTTCCTGCGCTGCACTAAATGCAGATAAAAGTGCTAGTGGCAGAACAGATCTTAGATACATTTTGGCAGATTGTCCAAATGCAAATAGGGTTTGACATTGGCCAGCAATGACTAGGAAAGGGGCAAAGCAGTTTTTAGTTACATTTTGGCAGCTTCTGGAAATGCAGATGGGGTTTGACATCGGCTAACTTGTGAGAAAAAGAAAAATGCAAATTCTATTTGCGTTTCCTGCGCTGCACTAAATGCAGATAAATGTGCCAAGGCCAGTTTTGGGCTGGCGTCCTTCTTTCTATATACCAGACGACTCATCTGCATTTTGGGAGCTGGCCAAAATGCAGATGGAGTTTCCCGGGACGCTGTGTTGTCATTTGCTGGCTTCAGGCCGGGCATGCAGTCTCTGGTGTCCATAAGCTTGAGAACACCTGACCAGAGATCCCTTGAGACGGCTCGTGTTGGTTCAGCCTTGTCTGCGCGATGGCTTCCTGGCTGCTCTGGCGCAAATTATCTGCATTTCTACGGCTGACGGAAACGCAGATAGATAGCATCGGGAAGAAAAGCTGGCCAAGGCCAGTTTTGGGCTGGCGTCCTTCTTTCTATATACCAGACGACTCATCTGCATTTTGGGAGCTGGCCAAAATGCAGATGGAGTTTCCCGGGGCGCTGTGACGCTGTGTTGTCATTTGCTGGCTTCAGGCCGGGCATGCAGTCTCTGGTGTCCATAAGCTTGAGAACACCTGACCAGAGATCCCTTGAGAAGGGTCGTGTTGGCTCAGCCTTGTCTACACGGTGGCTTCCTGGCTGCTCTGGCGCAAATTATCTGCATTTCTACGGCTGACGGAAACGCAGATAGATAGCATCGGGAAGAAAAGCTGGCCAAGGCCAGTTTTGGGCTGGCGTCCTTCTTTCTATATACCAGACGACTCATCTGCATTTTGGGAGCTGGCCAAAATGCAGATGGAGTTTCCCGGGGCGCTGTGACGCTGTGTTGTCATTTGCTGGCTTCAGGCCGGGCATGCAGTCTCTGGTGTCCATAAGCTTGAGAACACCTGACCCGAGATCCCTTGAGAAGGGTCGTGTTGGCTCAGCCTTGTCTACACGGTGGCTTCATGGCAGCCCTGGCGCAAATTATCTGCATTTCTACGGCTGACGGAAACGCAGATAGGTAGCATCGGGAAGAAATGCTGGCCAAGGCCAGTTTTGGGCTGGCGCCCTTCTTTCTATATACCAGACGACTCATCTGCATTTTGGGAGCTGGCCAAAATGCAGATGGAGTTTCCCGGGGCGCTGTGACGCTGTGTTGTCATTTGCTGGCTTCAGGCCGGGCATGCAGTCTCTGGTGTCCATAAGCTTGAGAACACCTGACCAGAGATCCCTTGAGACGGCTCGTGTTGGTTCAGCCTTGTCTGCGCGATGGCTCCCTTGCTGCTCTGGCGCAAATTATCCGCATTTCTACGGCTGACGGAAACGCAGATAGATAGCATCGGGAAGAAAAGCTGGCCAAGGCCAGTTTTGGGCTGGCGTCCTTCTTTCTATATACCAGACGACTCATCTGCATTTTGGGAGCTGGCCAAATGCAAATGGAGTTTCCCGGGACGCTGCGTTGTCATTTGCTGGCTTCAGGCCGGGCATGCCGTCTCTGGTGTCCATAAGCTTGAGAACACCTGACCAGAGATCCCTTGAGAAGGGTCGTGTTGGCTCAGCCTTGTCTGCGCGGTGGCTTCATGGCAGCTCTGGCGCAAATTATCTGCATTTCTACGGCTGACGGAAACGCAGATAGATAGCATCGGGAAGAAATGCTGGCCAAGGCCAGTTTTGGGCTGGCCTCCTTCTGTCTATATACCAGACGACTCATCTGCATTTTGGGAGCTGGCCAAAATGCAGATGGAGTTTCCCGGGGCGCTGTGACGCTGTGTTGTCATTTGCTGGCTTCAGGCCGGGCATGCAGTCTCTGGTGCCCATAAGCTTGAGAACACCTGACCAGAGATCCCTTGAGAAGGGTCGTGTTGGCTCAGCCTTGTCTACACGGTGGCTTCCTGGCTGCTCTGGCGCAAATTCTCTGCATTTCTACGGCTGACGGAAACGCAGATAGATAGCACCGGGAAGAAAAGCTGGCCAAGGCCAGTTTTGGGCTGGCGTCCTTCTTTCTATATACCAGACGACTCATCTGCATTTTGGGAGCTGGCCAAAATGCAGATGGAGTTTCCCGGGCGCTGTGTTGTCATTTGCTGACTTCAGGCCGGGCATGCAGTCTCTGGTGCCCATAAGCTTGAGAACACCTGACCCGAGATCCCTTGAGAAGGGTCATGTTGGTTCAGCCTTGTCTACACGGTGGCTTCCTGGCTGCTCTGGCGCAAATTATCTGCATTTCTACGGCTGACGGAAACGCAGATAGATAGCATCGGGAAGAAAAGCTGGCCAAGGCCAGTTTTGGGCTGGCGTCCTGCTTTCTATATACCAGACGACTCATCTGCATTTTGGGAGCTGGCCAAAATGCAGATGGAGTTTCCCGGGACGCTGTGTTGTCATTTGCTGGCTTCAGGCCGGGCATGCAGTCTGTCCATAAGCTTGAGAACACCTGACCAGAGATACCTTGAGACGGCTCGTGTTGGTTCAGCCTTGTCTGCGCGATGGCTCCCTTGCTGCTCTGGCGCAAATTATCTGCATTTCTACGGCTGACGGAAACGCAGATAGATAGCATCGTAGATAGCAATTGGGTTTCCTGTCTGAATCGACTAAACGCAAAAGAAACCACTTGCATTTTGCGAGCGGCTCTAAATGCAGATGGAATGACCAAATGCAGGAGGTAACCGTTATGAATTGCCATCATTTGCCATCTGCTTTTTGCCAGCAACTAGAAATGCAAATGACCGTGTCCCACAATCCAAAGTTCCCAGCTGCATTTTGCGACAGTAGCAGAATGCAAATATGTTACTGAAGGAAGCCAATTGGTTTTCCCGACTGAAAGGACTGAACGCAAAAGAAACCACTTGCATTCTGCGAGCGGCTCTAAATGGAGATGGAATGACCAAATGCAGGAGATAACCGTTATGAATTGCCATCTGCTTTTTGCCAGCAGCTAGAAATGCAAATGACCGTGTCCCACAATCCAAAGTTCCCAGCTGCATTTTGTGACGGTAGCAGAATGCAAATATGTTACTGAAGGAAGCCAATTGGTTTTCCTGTCTGAAACAGCTAAAGGCAAAAGAAACCATTTGCATTTTGCTGGCGGCACTAAATGCAGATGGAATGACCAAATGCAGGAGATAACCGTTATGAATTGCCATCTGCTTTTTGCCAGCAGCTAGAAATGCAAATGACCGTGTCCCACAATCCAAAGTTCCCAGCTGCATTTTGTGACAGTAGCAGAATGCAAATATGTTACTGAAGGCAGCCAATTGGTTTTCCTGCCGGAAACGATTAAACGCAAAAGAAACCATTTGCATTTTGCGGGCGGCTCTAAATGCAGATGGAATGACCAAATGCAGGAGGTAACCGTTATGAATTGCCATCTGCTTTTTGCCAGCAGCTAGAAATGCAAATGACCGTGTCCCACAATCCGCAGTTCCCAGCTGCATTTTGTGACGGTAGCAGAATGCAAATATGTTACTGAAGGAAGCCAATTGGTTTTCCTGTGTGAAACGGCTAAACGCAAAAGAAACCATTTGCATTTTGCTGGCGGCACTAAATGCAGATGGAATGACCAAATGCAGGAGATAACCGTTATGAATTGCCATCTGCTTTTTGCCAGCAGCTAGAAATGCAAATGACCGTGTCCCACAATCCAAAGTTCCCAGCTGCATTTTGTGACAGTAGCAGAATGCAAATATGTTACTGAAGGAAGCCAATTGGTTTTCCTGTCGGAAAGGACTGAACGCAAAAGAATCCACTTGCATTTTGCGAGCGGCTCTAAATGCAGATGGAATGACCAAATGCAGGAGATAACTGTTATGAATTGCCATCTGCGTTTTGCCAGCAGCTAGAAATGCAGATGGAAGCCGCGAATCCCCCAGATGTTGAACAGGCATTTCGCGTGCGCGCGTTCCGTTCCGTTCCCGTTCCGTTCCCGTTCCGTTCCTCGTTCTGTGTTCGGGCCGGCCTTCCCTGCTCATAGTATGATATAGATATGTCATGATATATCCATAGTTTGTTTCCGTATCATCCACAAAATCTCCGAGGATTTTCGAAAATCATCCACAAATTCCATATATCATTCCACATACCTTATTTCCATGTCCACATTTTTTCCATATCATGGTCAGATGATCTTTTCCATATCATTCCTAAGATTTCATATCATGTTCCATATCATTTTCCATATCATTTCTATGTCCATTGGTGTCGACCCTACCAGGCAGCCGACGACCCCTTTCAGCCGTACTGGTCCCTGCGACTGGGCTCACTTAAAAGTCTAGAACTCCCAGGGTGGTTTAACCATCCAAAATAGGGCGAGAAAGCCATGGATCATGGTGATTTAAGCAATGGATCATGCAGAACTATGGGTAACTTCAATACCAAACTTGGGTTGATGGTAGATTAGTATCGAACAAGGTTGCATGGGGGGTAGCATAAACCAACAAACATCGCTGCGGGGCACCACTTTTACACCAGACTGGGGTTTTCCTGTAGATGTTCCCCTTAAACCAGTTGTGGGAATGTCAAATATATCTGGTTGGTTGTTTCAAACATTTTTTATTTTCCATAATATATGGGATGTCATCCTTCCCATTGACGAACTCATATTTTTCAAGATGGTTATTGCACCACCAACCAGTTATACATAGATTATCATATTAAACAATAATAGATTAATAAAGATTATCGTGTTTCTATAGTTTGCTATATCATGAAAAGAGTACAATTTTTCCAGATTTTTTACGAATAGTTTCAGCTTTCCATTTCAGAATGGTTTGTTGCTATTGGCATCTCACCCATCAAGGCTCAACACTTCTGGCCCTGCGGTGATCAAGGACTGACACAGCCAGAAATACGACGGGGCGTGTCAGCGGAATGCGGAATGTTTTGGAAAAGGGAAATGCTAAATGAGAATTTTGGTGTGGAAAAATATGGGATGATTATTACCGTATTTGGTCGGATTCGGATGGAGTTGAGGAGCTATGGTTGTTTTCTTTTTGCGCCCACTATATAAAACATGGGGAGCCAAGGTGCTATGAATAAAGCTTTTCAACAAAATCATCAGTTGGGATCAGTTAATCAGTTTGCAAAATGACTGCGCAATGCCAGGTGAAGCTGTTGCCAACAGATCATAGCTTCACCATTCTCTTTGAGTCACCAAGAATGACAGATTTCATCCATTCATGCAGCAACTTTCAGCAAGTTCAGGGCCACTGTAGGGCCTTTTTAGGGCCTTTTCATCCCGGATGACCACTGGCAGGACACCATTACGAACTCCTTCACTTTCAAAGCCTTTCCCACAAGCATTTGTCCTTACGCTGCGTCGCGACTGGGCTTCCTGGAAACCGGTTTATCCATGGGTGACCTTACCCCACTTCTATCATTATGCCAATGTACCGGTGAATATACCCCCCCCCAAAAAAAAAAAACTATGGAACATCAGCATTTTTCATAGGTAAATCAACGAACTTTCTATGGCCATTTTCCACTTTGCAAAACCGTCATTTCTGCTGAGCCCAGGAAGTGCGTCCCAATGCCAGGGGTGGAATTTTCAGAGATCATGCAGCCCGGCGGATGATGTGGGAGCAACAAAAACGAAAGTGGTTGGAACGAACGGTCAAATGGATGAAATGGGTGAAAAATGGATGAAAAATGGATGAAAATGGATGAAAATGGATGAAAATGGATGAAAATGGCATAACAAGTCATCATTCAAGGGCTGGAAAGATCGTGAGAGATCAATGTCATTTGTTGTAGTTTTCCCATTGGCATCCGTGCCGCCATCAAGATGCTTCCCCAAGGCCTGGATATTGCAGCTGGAACCTCAAATGTCCCCGCTCATGGGCCATGGGTCAACATGTGGTTCCTCAAATTCCCCAAACATGGAGACTCAATATTTGAATCAATAATACATTCTATAAAATACTGATAAGACATGACCATAAATGACCTAAATTCATGAACATGAATCAACAGCCATGGGCATCATGGGCAGATCCACGGTGCGCCACGCGGCGTCCAAGGCCTGGAAGTTTCTGAGCTGGTGGATGGAGTGATGGCTGAAGCCCTTGAAAGCATGAGTGCAGATGCAGCTGGGACCTGGTTGGGATTCGTTTCGCCGAGACATTTCACCGGGAAATGTCAGACGAAGCAACAAAAATGACCTGGATTGGCTTAGTGGATGATTTTTTGCCCTCATTGCGACTCATTTTAACCTATACCATGATATACCATGTAGGGAATTTACCGTATTTGGAATGTACTCGATTGTCTTGTCAATTTTATACAAGCAAATCCCAGTGAAAGTGGGATTTAAACGAACAAATGGGGCATGGAATAAGTGACCAGGTAAGCTGTAAAAGTTCATGGTGACTCGACCAATTGTATAAGAATGGACAGACACACACACATATATATATATATCTATCTATATATATATATATATCTATATATATATATTCAAAAAATTACATGATTTCACCAGTCAACCAACACACATGAAGAACAAATGGAACGTTCCCATTTGTTGGGATGTGCTTCTGGGGTTATTGGAGCCGTGCGAAATCTCAGCGTCAAGGCACACTTGGGGCTCACAGATTTCCACACCCAACTTCGCAGCACCAGAGAAACTGCAGGAAACTTCATGTTTGGCTGGTAAAACAATCCTTAAAACCCGCCCATGATCCAATGGCACCCATGGATATTCATGGTATTTCCTGGAGATATCCATCAGAATCCCACGAGAATCCCAAGGCCTTCCAGACGGAATTCGAAGGCCTGACGAGCTTCGGAACACTCTTTGGCGAAGCCTTGAAGACGGCAGACACCTTCGCGTGCGTGGCTGTCGTCGCCTCATCGATTTTGTTATGTATAGGAAGCCCCAAAAAGATAGAACGGATTCAAGTCATGTCATCTTATACCATCAATTTATCTATATTGAGAGTCGGATTTTATAAGGCAATGAGGTTGCTGAGTTTTGAAACCGTTTTCAAAGGGTTTGAACAGTCAGTCTTACTGATCTGCTTTGCCAATTTCCCTTAGGATCTTACATAGGGCATCTGAATTTCCAGTTGTGAATGCCTGGTTGCAAGGCGCACACATCCCACATGAGGTCACTTGTGTGGTCATCGCGTTGCTTTACATGGTCCTCTTGCGCTTTCTGGTTGGGACCTGCCCCTGGGATGATCTCAGCAGGATCCAAATGGCAAGGTTTATAGTAGATGTGGGATTTTTGGGGATGCTCTATTTTCAGACAGACCCATCTCTTACAAATTGGGATAGATCGACAAGTTGTTTCGTCATGAGAAAATGCTGCGACAAAAAAAGCCCATTCGGATCTCATCTCTACTCTTCAAGTCTTCCAAAATGACGAATCATGGATTTGAAAAACATGTATTCAGGAAGTAGCCTCACCCACATTACCCACAGCTTCGCGCATGGATGGTCCCTGAGGTTGCCTTCGGTGCAACATACTTGGGGGTTCCATAACGAGTTCACCACAATCACTATCACTATGGAAAATCACCATTTTCAATGGGTAAATCCACTATAAATCACCGTTTTCAATAGCTATGTTAAATTACCAGTGGGTATCACTATCCCATTCCCCACATGGAATCTGTTACAAAAGCCGTTCTTTTCAAGGCATCCCAGTTCCGGGTTGGAATCACCCCGCGCCGAGGCGTTTGGCTGGCCCTGTTTGCAGTGCTGCTATGGCTGCGGTTTCGGTCAAGGAGTCAAGGCCACAAGGAAGTGTGCCACCGGTAATCCAATGGCTTTGGCAAGGGGACATCACCCATTTCTAGAGGATGTTCATGGATTTTCCATGATTTTCCCATCACATCCCGAATTTTGGAGATGAGTTGAGTTGTGCTTAAGTTCTGATCATTTTCCAGCGTGGTGGTTCCATACAAAAATCCTTGGATTAACAACAAAAATCTTCAGGTGACTGTTGCATGATAGGGGGTTGAAAACAACCAGGTTTTTTGAAAAAACAAGAGGGATGCACAGCCCACTGTATGGCGATTTGTGGGGGAATGAGCTTCAAACATGTTCAAACCACTACCCTTTGATCCTTTGGCAATCAAACTTTGCAATGGAAAATCCCCCATGTATAACCCATGACGGATCCATGGTGCTGCTATATATGGTAACATGGATCCCATCAATATACCCCATTTATGTTAGCATTAATCTACCAGCACCATGGATCCGTCATGGGTAATAGATGATTTTCCCAGCTAGACACCTCCATTCAGTTCCCGGATTTCCCCGCTTAACCATGGCAGTTTGATGACACAACGGAGCATGTATATACCGTATCCCATTGCAGTCCCCAATATACCCTCTGGTAATTTAACATAGCTATGGCAGTACTTAATTCTTCAACATCATATTCCCATTCTATCCAAACTATTAGACTATATATCATGTAAATCACTAGTCTTGTCCATTGACCCACTATGTACCATCAGATTCACAGGATGTTCTTGATTTTTTGAACCTGTTTTTGAAGCCAAACATCCCCAGCATTCCAAGGCTGGTTCTCTTCCTCTTCGGGGGTGGTTTGTTGATCGCCCGATCCAGTCACTTGGATCCTTTGGATCCGGTTTCGGGGGAGCTTGGTGTGCTGCCAAAGTTATGTCGTGAGATGGTAAAAGCATATCCCATGACAGATCCATGGTGCTGATATATATATATATGCTAACATTAACCTATGGATGGAATGGAATATCCCGTTTTCAGACAGACCCATACAGGTTTTACATAGATGTATAAGGATTTATATGCTAACATTTGGGGTATATTGATGGTAAATGTTACCATGTATAGCATACATGGATCCTACTATGGGTATATGAAAACAGGCCAACTGCTGCCTCATCTTGATTTTTTTCGACCTTGGTAAGGAACATGAACCATACTGCTAGGAAGTATAGCAACTGCGACCGCAAAGGACCGAGCCCATAGATTAGGGCAACGTGGCCCAATACGTCAGCTTTGGGGAAACTGATACCTCCAGGTCCATTGATGCCCCAGTTATGCGCGTTGGTTGAAACAAAAACCCCATTGATCGATTTCCACAAGAAACGTACCCGCGAAATTCCGTGAAGCTATAGCTGTAAACCAACCGTAAGCTAAAACCCTATAGTTAACATATAGTTGATGTTTCTCAATTTGGATAGAGGGGATCACCTTGAAACAGAGCCATTCCAAGTCGCATCAAGTCGGCCGCGTTCAGGTCAATGTCAGGGGGCGGAACTCTTTGACACCGGTTTCCAGATGGCCGTGGCCACTACCACGACCCTCGGATTATGACGATGACGATTGATTCCTAAAGCAGTATATCATGGCTGGGTAAATTATAACGATCTCACATCGCGCAACAATACCCTGAAATGATGGTTTATATATGGGAATCATCCCCAAATGACCTTGTTTCAGGTTTGTGAATTAATACAATTCACCCAGATAATGTGGATGCGACACAGTAGGCTATCAATAGAAACAACATGGATAGATATCGGACGTGTGAGTGGGACAATAAAGGATAGTTACAGGGTAACATGGGATACCCTCTTTTTAAACCAACACAACTATGGAAAATCACCATGTTATAGCTGGGTAAATCCACGAACTTTCTATGGGCCATCTATACCATAGCAAACTGTTAGTTTACCAGAGGTTAATTATTGGGACCCCCGGCGATGAGATGATGTTTTTAATGACTCCAGTCATGGTTGGTTTTTCTGGGATGGTTGGATTTGTTGGCTGCAGCACCTTGCCATTGCCCAAGGATTTATTTACGAGTTTCCCTTGCTACGAAGTTTCGCATAGCCATTGCTTGGGTCTGAACATCACGATACTTTTATTCAAGCCGTTTTGAGTCATCTTGATCCATGAAATCACATGGTTGATTTGGTGGAGGTTCGGCGTCCAATTTTCTGACTTGTGAGTCACCCATGTTTGAATGGTAAGAGTAAGACCTATAGAAATTGAACCTGAGCATTGCTTTGATTCGTGCAATTTTCATCAATGTTCTCTTATCCATGCCAATCCCAGAATTGGTTTTTACCCCATATATGAATCCATGGGTTTCCTGTGGATTTTCGCCGTGCCGATGGCTGATTCAAGGGGGTGAAACCCGGGTGAAACCAGGATTTTTTGACCCCCACAGGATGCCCTCGGAAATTCGCAGGTGACATACCAGCCAATGAACCACAATAAGCCACAGTAGATCTCAAAATATAGAACAATAATCCACAATTGATTACACAAAAATACCAGAAATCATAATTGATTGATTTGCAACAAGATCAGTGAACCACAATAAATATCAGAATCATTGCTTTCATTCCCGCATTTTCCTTCTCCATGGTGATCTTTTTAGGTATTTGGCCAGCAGCGCCACCAACGCTGTGAACCAAGCCGTTGATCCGAACAGCTATGAGGCATGATTTGTAGAGGATTTGCCGATTACAATGGAGGTTGGACATTGCCACCTGACAGTTTCCTGTGCTTCTGGAGTGTATCTCTCTCTCTATATATATATATGTGTGTGTGCTATCCAGTGGTTAGGAAGAAGCCAAGGAGGTAGGGGTATCCACATTGGTATCCACATATGGTATCCACATATCATATTCCTCATTTTTCACGGGGAGCCAGTTGGAGCTAGTAAGAGTTTCCCAACCTAACCATATGATAGGATTGAGTGATGTGAAATGGCATGTAAGGCTTTCAGGGTCCGATGCCAAAGCTGAACAGCTTGCCGGCTCCTGATGGATTGAAGAATTGGTCGGAAGGGTTCCTTCAATCCATGGTTTCTTCAAAATCTCGGTTGTCACCTGAATAAACTACAGTACCTACCTAGTAAGGTCTATTTGTTGATATTTCCACTCAGAACCAAAATTAGTACAAATCTGGCCTCCTCAGTGAAAAATGTCACTGTCAGTGCTTTTGCCCGTTCGTCAACCGTACTCGAGAAAGGTGTTCAAATGGCGTTCAAATTGCGATCAAAACCGTTCGATGGGTGTGTCCACGTAAATTTTGTTCAGAGATGTGCATCCATGTAATAACGGTACCTCAATGGAAATTGACACATAAAAATGTTCGATTTGTACAAATTTTCATCCTCGGTGGAAATTTCAACACATCAACCTTACCAGGTAAGAAATGGTGTTAACCTAGAAGGGCTTAATAGAAGGGCTTAATCTTCATATCCCATGCCCCATCCTGCACATCTCCTGCTTTGGAGGTGCTGAGTGAAGAACTGCTCGGTGATGGTGGCAATGGCAATTATACAGGAGTGGCTGGCGCTTCTGCAATTTTTCATCAGTTGAAGAGATCAAAATGAGATGTTGTGCTCCTTGACACCTGCCTTTGTTTTTGTAGATCAGGTACAACCTCATCAGAA